ATTTACGACTTTTTACCTCAATTTGAAAAAACAGGTAATCATTAAAATAGAAGTCTTATCTCGAGTCTTATATTGCAAAACCAGTTTTATTGCTTATCGCTAACATGATTAATGAACACAAAATACCTAAAAAAATGTAATTATTTTCAAGAAGATGTCCTAGACAAAAAAGATTATGATTTGTACAAGGCAAAATTTATTCGCTGTCTTCTTCATCGGAACTATCTTGACCTTTTGTTTTACAACAATATTTTTCAACCTAATCAACATATTATGTCTTTTATCACCTTTCCTCATTTCATACCAATAAAAATACTTTTAAAAAAATCAGCAGCACGCCGTTTCGTGGAGTTACTAACTGTTTACCACTAAGAATTTTGATGGTAGGTAAACATTAACAGAATAGTATGTAAAGGACATACTATTCTTTACCCCACATGGAGTTACTGTCTTTATAAAAACTAAAAATACAGGCAACCAACAAAGCGGGACTTACGATTTTTTGCCACAATAACAAATTGAAAGCGGGCACTTTGAAAATGATATTAACTCAATATTGATAAAAAGTGGAGTTACGACTATTTACCTCTGCTACAGAAATAATATTTACAGTAGGTACATAACATGCGTTAACGTAGGTATATTTTTTAGGGCAAGCTAATCAAGCAAATCCAGATAGAAGTGCATCCTCAGCTTCAGTAGAAGTGGGAGATCCTTCTTTCTCAAAAGCAAATGAAGTAGAACAAATAAATACGACTAACAATGAAACAATGGTATCTCAAGTTGAAGCAAGTGATAGTTCTGATTTTGACCAATATAATCCTGCAACATGGAACGTTAGCGACAGTTTAATTGATAAAATCACAAAATTATCTTTAGTTCAAGATCTAGATCAATTTGACTTCAAAAATTCAAAGAGAGTTTGTGCATGAATCCAGATATGCAACAAGAAAAATGTTTTATATTCAACTTGTCAATGGTGAAACAGTTCGCCGTGATTGGCTCTGGTATTCTTCATCCACTAATAAAATATATTGCGTACCGTGCAAATTATTTAGCAGTTTGAATATTCAGAATGTGAATGCATTTGCTTATGGTTTCAATGATTGGAAACATCCGGAAAGAATAGCTGATCATGAGCGATCACATGTTCACAAAAATATTATTACTACTTACATTCTAAGAATCAAGACACAAGGAAGGATAGACACTGCTCTAGAAACAGAACGTTTGTATGAAAAAGATTACTGGAAGAATGTTTTAAAGAGAATTCTAGCAGCAGTGAAATTTTTATCTCAACAAGGGCTGGCATTTAGGGGCAGCATAGAACATTTGGGTGAAGAACGATCAGGAAATTATTTAGCAACATTGGAGTTGATTGCCCAGTTTGATCCTTTTTTGAAACATCATCTGAAGTTGAAGGCAAATCAAGGAAGAGGAAATGTATCTTATACTTCCAAAACCATTTGTGACGAATTTATTGCATGTATCGCAACCATGATTAGGGAAAAAATACAAACTGAAGTAAAGAAATGTAAATATTATGCTATAAGTGTAGACTCAACTCCCGATATATCCCAGACAGATCAGTTAACATTTATTATTAGATACACTGATCAGAATGGTAAAGTGGCTGAACGTTTTATCAAATTCATAAGCAGAGTTGGGCACAAAGCTTCTGACATGGAGGAAACTATTCTAAAGACGTTAAAAGAATTAGATCTAGATATAAACCATTCTAGAGGCCAAGCCAAGCCTACGATAACGCGAGCAATATGTTTGGTCAATATGCAGGCTTACAATCACGAATCAGGGAGCATAATGATTTAGCTTTTATATACCTTGCGCTGCACTTCACTAAATTTAGTAGGAAATTGTGCTGCCGAATGTTGCATGATTGCTACAAAACTTTTCATGTTTGTCAATGAATTTTATACCTTCTTTTCATCTTCAACATATCGTTGGGAAATACTAAGGGATGTCATTTCATCTCCGGATAATGCCACTTGTCTACCTAAAAAACTTTCATCGACAAGATGGTCAGCAAGAGCGGATGCAGTTGAAGCAATGTATGTAGGCTATGCAGCTTTCAAATCTGCTTTGGAAAGGTGTAACAATGAATCCTCACAACCGCCTAATGTCAAAGCTCAAACAAGTGGCATGATAAAAACGATGGAAACTTTAGAAACCGGAATTCTACTAGCTTTTTGGAACCACATTCTGAAACATTTCGATAAGACCAGTAAAACGCTACAAAATATAAATACGGACGTCCTTTTGGTCGTGAAGTTGTATGAATCATCATTAGGATTTATAGAAGCTCTGAGAAATAATTTCAATGACTTTGAAAATATGGGGAAAAAAATTACCGGTTCACAGAATTATCAAAACAACGAGAAAAGAACCAGTAACCAAGAGCAAATGAAACACAATTTGATGGAAGAGAGGATTTGCGAGTAAATGTTTTCATTACAATTATAGACACCCTTATTACTGAGCTAACAAAAAGAAAAGTAGCATATGATAAAATTTTGAACTTGTTTGGGTTTTTGGAGAAAATTGTCATATTATCTGACGAAGAAATAAAAACAAAAGCTCAGCGACTTGAGGAGACATAAAAAACGATCTGGACAATTATTTTCTTCAGGAATGTGTTCAGTATAAATATTTCCTAATTTCTAGTGGCCATGAAGGCAACTTAAATTTGGGAGAACTTCTGCAAAGTTTGAAGTCTCAAAAGCTAATCTCGACATTTCCCAATATCGAGGTAGCACTGAGAATTTATCTTTGTCTTCCATCGACGAACGCGTCTGGAGAGAGGTCTTTTTCCACCCTAAGGAGGATAAAAGACTATCTCAGAAACACACTTTCGGATGAAAAAACAAGTGACCTGGCACTAATCAATGTCCATTTTCAATTCAATTTCCGAAGATGAAATTATAAACAGATTTATATCATTGAAACTAAGAAAAAGATTTTAAGGTGCATCACAATTTCTTTTAAATGTTCAACTTTAGACTAGTTTAAAACTAGGCTAGGTACAGGGTGTTAGGTTATAAAATACCACCACCTGTAACTTTTTTATTTTTGATCGTTCATAAAAAAGTTACAGGTGGTGGTACTTTATAACTTGACACCCGGTACAGTTTTCTTTTATAAGTAACTCTGACAAATAATATAATCTTTCTTGTATTTCCTTAACAAATTAATTAATTAAGTATTTGTCTCACATACTAAAGAATCTTCAAATAAAAAAATAAAAAATTTACCACAAACTAAGTAATTGTCTTTTTTATATTGAAGAATCTTCAAATGATAAAATAAAATATAATGATAATATAAGCCAGAGCCTAGAAGGGGGCGAAATGATTTTAATCGCCCAGGGGCGAAAAAAACCTTAATCCGCCCCTGGGATTAGTGATGTAATGTATCATTTCTTGGATTGAAACCGAAAACATAATGGAGTACATTAGCAGTAATTTTATTAAAGTTACAATAATCTGCAGGTTTGCTATTTAATTTTTTTGCAAATTCTGGAGCACTAAAATGGCCGCAACGCCTAAACTAAAATATCTAGCAAAAAAGGCATGAGGCAAAGTTGATCATAATGTTATTATCTACAAATTTTGTTAAGGTCATTTTGTCGAAAAAAAAAATAAATAAGAAAAAGGCCAAAAGGGCCGAACGCACAAGGCTTTCGAGTGTGATTTTTTGGCTCAATACTCAGGACACAGCCTCCAATCAGCCCTGAAAAAATCAGCCTGCCCTCGCAAAATTTTTTGAAAAACCCATATGCGTATGATTTTTGAAGCCAAATTAGCATAGAAAATTGTTATTTTTGCCCTATACATTATTTTCACAAAAAATTCTTAGAACACCAACACCTACGCTACAACCCTCTGAAAGACGATTGGATTCTTGTCTCGCCCCATCGAGCTTTGAGACCTTGGAGCGGTCAAACTGAAAAAGCTTCGGTCGAAACTGTCCCTAGATTCGACCCCAAAAACCCTTTATGTCCTGGAGCGACTAGACCCAACGGCATAGTGACACCAAAATACGAATCCACTTATGTTTTCACCAACGATTTCCCTGCTCTTCTAGAAGAAGGCCCTGAACCTGAAGAATCTGAAGATCCTTTATTTCAAATTAAAAGCGCCAAGGGTACTTGTAAGGTGATGTGCTATCATCAGTATTCTGATGTATATTTGACCAGGTTTGTTTTATGTTTGAATAAAAATTCTAATTATTTTAAAACAAAATTTATTTTAGTTTATCTACCAAAGAAGTAGTAGACATAATAAACGAATGGGTAAAACAAACAGAAGAATTAGGCAAAAAGTACCTTTGGGTGCAACTATTCGAAAATCGCGGTCAAATGATGGGCTGCTCCAACCCTCACCCCCATTGCCAGATATGGTCGTCAAGTTTCCTACCAAACGAAGCCAGAATTAAAGACATCAACCTTAAAAACTACTTCGCAAAGCACCAAAGGCCTTTGCTACAAGACTACGTCGCAAAAGAACTACAAAACAAAGACAGAATAGTTACAGAAAACAACGAATGGGTTGTACTGGTACCCTATTGGGCCATATGGCCCTTTGAAACAATGGTCCTGCCAAAAAAACAAATAGAAAGGTTCACAGATACGACCTGCACCCAACGGGAAGCCTTAGCGAAAATTCTACAAATCTTGGTAGCAAAATACGACAATTTGTTCAAATGCAACTTCCCTTATTCGATGGGCTGGCACGGAGCTCCCACAGGGCCTAGATTAAGCGAATGCAATCCCCATTGGACTTTTCACGGAATTTACTTGCCTCCCCTTTTGAGGTCAGCAACTGTTAAAAAATTCATGGTCGGCTACGAGCTTTTGGCTCAAGCCCAAAGAGATTTGACTCCGGAAAAAGCTGCCGCGATGCTCAGGGAACAGAACGATACGAGATTCGAGTGAAGAATTTTCATTTTTGTATTATTTAGTATTGAATAAAGCTAATACTTACTTGTACCAACCGATTCCCACTGCAATTAATCCAACGGTAGCCGCTGCACTGATTCCAGCTATGATTGCTATAATGTATACTCCGGCCGTGTCAGCTTCAGCGTCTGATGGCTTGAAAGGCACCACTTCTACGTCTTTACCAGGTTTGTGCTCGAGATGAGGACTGGAAAATGTTTTTTTTTTAAATTAATTTATTAACATTTGGAGGCAAAAGTCGTTTGTTGAGTCTCTTATTTATTTCTGTTTACTCTAATAGACAGAAGATGAAAAAGATAAAGAACCATTTTACCTTTTCTGATGATCAGACGAAAAAACGAAAGATGGAGATAAAGGATCAATTTCTGCTTTAAAAGTGCGGGAAATAAGATTTTTATTTCCTGTAAGTTAAGGGAGCAAAATGAGCTTCTAAAATCACTTCAACTGTCTGTTTTAAAGCTTTTTGTCATACAGATTTGGTTAAATTTCAGTAATATGAGGGTACAAAATGAAGTTCTTACATGTCAACTTTAACTCTATTATAACCAGAAGTTAGAATTTGATACTTTTTTAGTAGAATTTCAACTCGAGAAAAGCCAGGAATAAAACTTTTACTTATTCAAACTGAGCATTCTAAACCTCTATAAACATCAACTTGAAACTTTCAGGAAAGATTTCTGAAAAATACTTTGAGCCATCACAGCAACTTGAAACTTCCAGGATTTATCAATTAGAGTTTTTCCATGATACAAAACAAGTTGGAAGTTGATATGAAACTCACAACCAAAAATACGATTTTTTTAATCATTATTACCTGAGAAAATCATAAAATTCCTGTATAATCACTTTTGAAGATTCCTGAAAAATACTTTAAGCCATCATACCAACTAGAAACTTTCAGGATTTATTCATTAGAGTTTTTTCATGATACAAAACAAGTTGGAATTTGATATGAAACTCCCACCAAAGTTACGAATTTTTGTACTCATCGATACCTGAAAAAATCAGAAAGTTCCTGTAAGATCATCTTTGAAGATGCCTGAAAAATACTTTGAGCCATGGCAGCAACTTGAAACTTTTAGAATTCATTAATTAAAGTTTTTTCATGATACAAAACAAGTTGGAAGTTGATATGATACTCACAACCAAAATTACGAATTTTTTTACTCATTGATACCCGAAAAAATCAAAAAATTCACTTTTGAAGGTTTCTGAAAAATACTTTGAGCCATCACAGCAACTTGAAATTTTCAGAATTTGTTAATTAGAATTTTTTCATGATACAAAACAAGTAAGGAGTTCATATGAAATTCACAACCAAAATTACGAATTTTTTTACTCATTAATACCTGAAAAAATGATAAAATTCCTGTAAAACCACCTTTGAAGGTCCCTGAAAAATACTTTGCGCCATCACAGCAACTTGAAACTTTCAAGTTTTATTAATTAGAGTTTTTTCATGATAAAAAACAAGTTGGAAGTTGATATGAAAGTCACAACTGAAGTTACGGATTTTTTTACTTATTGATACCTGAAGAAATCAAAAAAATCCTGTAAAATCACCTTGGAAGGTTCCTGAAAAATACTTTGAACCATCACAGCAACTTGAAACTTTCAGGATTTATTAGTTAGAGTTTTTTCATGATACAAAACAAGTTGGAAGTTGATATGAAACTCACAACTAAAATTTGAATTTTTTTTACACATTGATACCCGAAAAAATCAAAAAATTCACTTTTGAAGGTTCCTAAAAAATACTTTGAGCCATCACAGCAACTTGAAACTTTCAGGATTTATTAGTTAGAGTTTTTTCATGATACAAAACAGGTTGGAAGTTGATATGAAACTCACAACTAAAGTTTGGAATTTTTTTACACATTGATACCTGAAAAAATCAAAAAATTCCTGTATAATCACCTTTGAAGATTCCTGAGAAATACTTTGAGTCATCACAGCAACTTGAAGCTTTCAGGATTTATTAATTAGAGTTTTTTCATGAAACAAGTTGGAAGGTGATACGAAAGTCACAATTAAAGTTACTGATTTTTTTACTCATTGATAGGTAGGTAGGTACCTGAAAACATCAAAAAATTCCTGTAAAATCACCTTTGAAGATTCCTGAAAAATACTTTGAGTCATCACAGCGACTTGAAACTTTCAGGACTTATTAAATAGAGTTTTTTTATGATACAAAACGAGTTGGAAGGTGATATGAAAGTCACAACCAAAGTTACGAATTTTTTCACTCATTGATACCCGAAAAAATCAAAAAATTCACCTTTGAAGGTTCCTGGAAAATACTTTGAGACATCAAAGCAACTTGAAACTTTCAGGATTCATTAACTAGAGGTTTTTCATGATACAAAACAAGTTGGAATTTGATATAAAACTCACCATCAAAGTTACGATTTTTTTTACTCATTGATACCTGAAAAAATCGAAAAAATTCTTGTAAAATCACCTTTGATGATTCCTGTAATATACTTTGAGACATCACAGCAAATAGGAACTTTCAGAATTTAATAATTAGAGTTTTTTTATGACACAAAACAACTTGGAAGTTGATATGAAACTCACAACCACAGTTACGAATTTTTATACTCATTGATACCCGAAAAAATGAAAAAATTCACCTTTAAAGATTCTTGAAAAATACTTTGGGCCATCACAGCAAATAGGAACTTTCAGAATTTATTAATTAGAGTTTTTTTATGACACAAAAAAACTTGAAAGTTAATATGAAACTCACAACCAAAGTTACGATTTTTTTTACCCATTAATACCTGGGAAATTTTAAAATTCCTGTAAAATCACGTTTAAAGGTTTCTAAAAAATACTTCGAGCTTAAACGAATTGAATACTTAAGAATTTTTCAAAGAAACACCACTGAAAATTTCAGAGACTCTAAAAAACTGAAAATCGACTTTTGAGAGACTCATCATTAAAGACTAATCACTTCAACGACTCTGGACTCAAGGAATAAAGAATGATTTCTAAAGATAGAAGATTGAAGACTAAAACTCCAGAAAACTTAAAAGTCGCTGAAAACTGGAACTTCAAGGATTCCAAAGTCTATGAAGATTTGAAAAGATTTCACACATTTATGAAGTGTCCCAAGACCTAAATACACAGCAAAATCGAAAATTCTCAATATTCTATTGATTCCGAGACTTCTTGAAGTCTTCCAACACTCCAGACTTTGAAGATTTTAAGGCTCAATCTAAAGATACAAAATTCTGAAAACTCACTAAAGACTAGAGACTGAAAACTGAAAAACTTTAAAGACTATTAAGCCCCTAAAGAGTCCAAATGTCATCTTTTCTTCTAGAGTGATCAAAAATTGCAGTTTGATTCTCCTCCAGTTCAATTACAACTCTAGGAGAGTCAGAAATGAAAATTTGATGCTTCTTTAGTTGAAATTCAGCTCCATGAGGGCCAAAAATGAGCATTTTAAACCTGTTTAACTGAACTTGAGCTTCCCATGGTCCAAAATTAGAATTCACCACTCTAAGAGAACCAGGAATAGCTACTTGAGCTGGGTTCAACTCTACGAGGATGCAAAATGAGCTTCTAAAACCTTTCTAGCTCAATTTTCTGTTTTGTATCTTTTAGCTATACATATATGAGGTTACAAAGTAAGATTATCATATCGCTCTATAACAAATTTGACTCTAGAATGATCAGAAATCGGAGTTTAATATTTCTCTAGCCAAATATATCAACTCAAAATGGTTAGAAATTGGAGTTTGATACTTTTTTAGCTCAATTTCAACTCTAGGAGAGCCGAGAATAAAATGTTCATGTGTCTTTAGTTCAAATTTAGGTCCACGAGTGCCAAAAATGTGATTCAAACCACGCTAGCTCAATTTCAAATCTAAAGGTGGTCAGAAATTAGAATCCACTTCTCTAGAAGAGCTAGGAATAGGATTTTTATTTTTCTTATTTCAATTTTGACTCTTATGAAGATACAAATGAACTTCCAAAACTGCTTTAGCTCAACTGTATGTCTTTAGTTCCTTAAGTTGAATTTCAGCAATATGAGGTTGCAAAATAATGTTCCTGTAGCCCGAAAATTATCAGAATTCGGGGTTTGATACTTTTCAAGTTCACTTTTCAGTCAAGGAGAACCGGGAATGAAACTTTAATGCTTTTTAGATAAAACTCAGCTCCACGCACGACGACCAAAAATGGATTATTTGGTTTATTGTTTTATGAGGATCTATTTAAAGCCAAGCTTATTATATTGGGTTAGTAGTCAACTTAATGATAAAACTACCCAAAGGTTTCTCATTGAAATTATCCCTTACCTTAGCACGATAAGCAAAAGAATCTTGCCCATAACATTTTCTACAGATGGTAAAATATCTAAGGAGCTTCTAGTACCAGATTTCAACTAATCGATTTGGTGCATAAAGTTTTGTCCAGAGCTAATTATTTCCATTTTGAAGAAAGAGTGAAAACGCAGGCACTGAGGAAATCTTTGAAAATTTCTGTTTCTTTTTGTATATATTGGTTTGGCAGTTTTGGCACGAAGGAATTAGGATGAAAATCTTTCAGAAATTGCTTTCAATTTCATTTCAGAAAGAATCTAAAATTAGATTTGTTTATATTTCTGGGCCTTATTGGTAGTTAGAATGGCTTGTTGGAATTTGATATGAACATTTAACAGACATTGATGAAAACGTGAATCGCGAATATTCACCAAATGAGCTCCCATTCTTCCTCTTTTTATCCAGAAATTTTCAAAATTATTCTTGTAACAGTTTTCCAGAAGAATATTGAAATATGGAAGATTTTTTTCGTAAAATCTACTTTCTGGAAGTTGATTTTCAAGAATTTTCCGTGTTGATGTTTTCCACTGAATGAATTCGAAGTTTCCCTTAAATAAGCTCCCATTCTTCCTCTTTTCATCTAGAAAATTTCAAAATTATTCCTGCAACAGTTTTCTAGAAAAATAATGAAAATGCGGGAGGGTTTTTTGTAAAATCTAGTTTCTGGAAGTTGATTTTCAAGAATATTTCGTGTTGATGTTTTCCACTGAATGAATTCGAAGTTTCCCTTAAATGAGCTCCCATTCTTCCTCTTTTCATCCAGAAAATTTCAAAATTATTCCTGCAACAGTTTTCCATAAAGATAATGAAATATGCGAGAGTATTTTTTGTAAAATCAAGTTTCTGGAAGTTGATTTTCAAGAATTTTTCGTTCTAATGTTTTCTCTGAATCAATTTGACGTTTCACTTAAATGAGCTCCGATTCTTCTTCTTTTCATCCAGAAAATTTCAAAATTATTCCTGCAACAGTTTTCTAGAAAAATAATGAAAATGCGGGAGGGTTTTTTGTAAAATCTAGTTTTGTGGAAGTTGATTTTCAAGAATTTTTCGTGTTGATGTTTTCCACTGAATGAATTCGAAGTTTCCCTTAAATGAGCTCCCATTCTTCCTCTTTCCATCCACAAAATTATTCCTGCAACAGTTTCCCAGAAAAAATTTGAAATATGCGAGAGTGTTTTCTGTAAAATCTAGTTTCTGGAAGTTGATTTTTGAGAATTTTTCGTGTTGATGTTTTTCACTGAATCAATTTGACGTTTTACTCTGTGGTTTCACTCAAATGAGCTCTCATTCTTCCTCTTTTTATCAAGAAAATTTCAAAATTATTCCTGAAACAGTTTTCTAGAAAAATAATGAAATATGCGATATTATTTTTTGTAAAATCTAGTTTCTGGAAGTTGATTTTCAAGAATTTTTCGTGTTGATGTTCTTCACTAAATTAATTTGCAATTTCACTCAAATGAGCTTCCATTCTTCCTCTTTTCATCTAGAAAATTTGAAAAGTATTCCTGCAACAGTTTTTCAGAAAAATAATGAAATATGCGAGAGTGTTTTTTGTAAAATTTTGTTTCTGGAAGTTGATTTTGAAGAATTTTTCGTATTGATATTTTTCACTGAATCGATTTGAAATTTCACTCAAATAAGCTCTCATTTTTCCTCTTTTTATCCAGAAAATTTTAAAATTATTCCTGCAACAGCAATCTCTCAATTGCCTAGAGTAGGTAGGTACCTTCAACATTATTTTTTATAGCTGAACTCGCAAAACAATCATTCAAAATTTTACCATAAATTGACCTCGAGATGCAATTGAAGAAGAAAATAGTCCCCCAATAAATAATCCTAACGATCAAAAATTGAGTAGATAAAATTGAATAAGGTTTACTGAAAAAATGATCTAAAACGTCTATTTCGATGCATGTAGTAAAGATCTGCAAGAGGAAGACATTGATGAGCAAGTTAGGCCTGTAGTTTGTAACAAATTATTGCTCAACTGGTTTCATCATTGCCAGATCTAGAAATTTTCTTGGAAGAACTAATCAACAACCATAGACGAAGACATAGAGTAGTTTCTTCAAGAACAAGAACAAACAGATAATAGATATGGGCACAATCAGACAAAACCCGAAATAGACTTTTTTCCACCTGAAAGTAGACGTCTCAATTAAAATCCAATTCCAAGACCAAATTTGAACGGAAAATGTTGTTCGATAAATGACAAAACACTGAAGCTTATGACTCATAATTGAAAGTGGATGAAAATGAATTTCAAAGCTCACTGCTGAAGAAAGGCACGAAGGAAGAATTAAAAGTAGGTTACATAAAGAACATCAAGGATTGATCAAAGAAACAGCTATAAGAAGCTGGAAATAAGAAAACAAAGAAGTCTTCTAAGGGATGGGAAACGACTTAATTGAGAAAAACCGAGAAGGTGATTCACGGTCTGGAAAACAAGGAATCATCAGGAGAAGATGGCAATATTTTCAATACTGGGATGAGGTTCTATTCAACCTTTTAAAGATTCCAGATATACAAGAGAAATGGAATATCAAAAGACTCGTAGCTCTGGTAGTAGGTACTTTAGATTCATTGAAAAAGCCAATGAATACCATCTACTACTGCTCAATTTCGTAAACTATGTGGAGGCATTCGATATTATTAAGCTTTGGGCCATAGAAAGAACAATGAATAACTCTCAAATTAACTCAGGATAAAGGCAAAACAGAGAAATATCACATCGACAGTAGACCTGGAAGAGAGAGAAGAGAAACCAACCCCATTTCAATCAGGATTCAGGAAAGTAGTCAAACAGGAAGACGATGTGATATCACCCAAAATTAATTAAGGATATATTCAAGAAAATAGGTTGGTCTAGACAGACATGGCGTAAATGTAAACGGTGAACAGGACCAACGACATCGTATTAATACAAACTAGTCAGTTGGTAATTTGGGGAGAAAGTGATGATAAATAAAGCCGGAGATGGAAAAAAGACTCACCTTCAGGAATCTTCCTTTGAAAAAAGTCAATGAATGCATCTACCCAAGAAGTTATTGAAAAGCATGATGGAAGCAAAAACAAAAAAGCTTTGAACCTGATGAAAAGAGAGGGTGAAACATTCAGAAAAGACAATATCAATCATACTCCAATGAAGTAAAGTCGATAAATAATAATTGAAGACGTGAAAGCTTTATCCAGTAGTAATTTTCACTAGAGCAGTCTTCATCAGAAGAGCCATCAAGAACAAACCAAACTTACTTTGTCTCCTGTGCATCTCTAAACAATCCTAGTTGCTGTTGCTTTTGCAAATCACTTCTAGAGTTCATCTTAGGTTTCTGGAGATAGTAAGTTTTCGTACCGATTAATTGACTTGAATCATCTTGTGGCTTTGCCTTGTTTTCTAAAAAAAATTCAATAAAATCTCCCATATGTAAATCAAAATAAGCTGACAACTACCTTCGGCATCTCTGTAAAACCTAGGATCGGTAGGTCCGACTGCAAACTCGCTAGGATCCTCAGCAACAGCAACTTCATTGAAAACGTTCGAATGCGGGAATTCTTCGCCGTCTTTGAACTTGTATTCTTCGTGCATGTCATGGTGATGATTATTGTCTTCAATTTTGGGCTCGTCGAAATCGTCGATTTTGTAATTGACCGGAATGTCTACGGGGGCGATGCGCGGGAACAAATAGGATTTCGGGAAAGTGGGCCTGATGTGTGGCATTTCGTCTACTTCGATTACTTGGTCTTCTGGCGGTTCTTCTTCGGTTTCCGATGACGAATCTTGGAAGGCCTGGAATTGGACCGTAGAAAATACAAATAATATGAGGAGCCAAATTACTTACGGTTTCATAATGCATTGGTTTCTCTACAGGTGCTATTCTTGGAAAAAAGGGTCTCGGAAGAGCTGGTCTTATAATTGGTTCTTCCTCTTCATTTTCGTCGATTATAATGTCGGAATTTTGGTAAGACTATAAATAAAATTAATAAATTAATGCCTGAACCTGAAGATGAACCCATAAATTAGGCACCGGAAATAAAATTGACTGTTAATAAATATGGTGATATAAACTGGTGATATAAACATCGAGGATTATAGAGTTCTTTTTTCAGGCACTACGAATGGAAGACATGAACACGGTGTGGGTTTTGTCTTGAACAAGAAAATAGCGCAGTGTGTGAAAGCCTTTATACCCGTATCAGAAAGAATAGCACTCATCCAAATAAGAGCGAGTCCGGTCGACATGAACATCATACATGAACATCATACAAATATACGCCCCTACGCTGGATAAAGAAGATGAAGAAGTGGAAAATATGTACACAACTGTCAATAATATACTGAAAGAACTGAAGAAGCATGATATCACAATTGTAATGGGCGATTTTAACTCAAAAGTGAGAGAAGGTCATACATCAGACGTTATAGGATCACATGGACTAGGTGAAAGAAACAAAAGAGGGGACACACTTGAAGTTTTTGCAGTAACAAATGAACTCGTAGTAATGAACACTTGGTTCAAACTGCCGCCAAGAAGATTATATACGTGGAAAGCACCTATGGATGAACCGGGAAGAATAGTCAGAAACCAAATCGACTTTATGTTAGTCAATAAGAGGTTTAGAAATAGCTGCCTATCCCTCAAAACATATCCAGGAGCTGACATTGGATCAGATCACTGTCCCTTGGTTGGTGTATTTAGGGTAAAAATGAAGAAGGTCAACCCTAAGATGACTCCAAACTATGACCTTCAGAGACTCAAAACCCCAGCAATAGAGGAAGCAGCCAGAAGAGGCAGGGGAGGCTAAGGCTCCTCCAAAAAATTGAAAATTCAATTTCAGTTTTTTATTCCTTATTCCGTACAACTCCGGCCCTTCGGGCCGAAGTTATACGCGAGCCCGAAAGGCCGGAGTTAAACGCGAGCCCGAAGGGCCGGAGTTAAACGCGAGCCCGAAGAGCCGGAGTTATACGCGAGCCCGAAGGGCCGGAGTTATACGCGAGCCCGAAGGGCCGGAGTTATACGCGAGCCCGAAGTTCTTTCAAAAAACCACTCAAACGGAATTGGTCTGCTTAAAAAGCCAAACGGAGAACACTGTACCGACCATATAGAAAGTCTAGAGGTACTACCACAAACTCACTTTCCAGGTTCGGTAATCGTTGAAGCCCTGAACCAGGTCCCTCTGCCTATCGAAAGCCTTAATTAACGTCAGGAGCAAAAGGCTGGCTGTGAAAATCTTCACAATGAACAGAATAAAATGGGCGATCGATAGCTTCGATAGAAACCTCCCCCAAAAAATTGAAAATTCAATCTCAATTTTTTATTCCTGATTTCTAATTAAAATAATAATCCACAAATTACACAACAGAATTCCAATTTTCGATATTTCAATGTAATTTAGAAAAGTCTGACAACATTATTTCAATCAATCCTCCACGACAAAAATCTGTGAATCTGGGATACTCAGTAATACCGGCCCGAAGGGGCCGGAGTAATATGAGCCCGAAGGGCTAGAGTTATACGCGAGCCCGAAGGGCCGGAGTTATACGCGAGCCCGAAGGGCCGGAGTTATACGCGAGCCCGAAGGGCCGGAGTTATACGCGAGCCCGAAGGGCTAGAGTTATTTTAATCACGGGGCCCAGTCTATAATTCTATTGATCAGCTGATAATTTGGAGTCAATCAAAAATCGGCAATATTCAAAATGTGATTTTTAGTCGATATTCCGAGTTTCAGTTCTCTCCGATGTACCGGAAAAAAGTCTCTCCATCTTTCTAGATTTTGATTTTTTTTTTCCGAATTTCCAAAAAAAAAAAAACTATCAGATAGAGGAGCAAAAAAAACGTTGAAAAACTTATGGGACCCTTCTTTCCTTTGACGTATTTTAAGGCCGGGAAAAAATTAAAAAGGATATTTCGATTTTGGCCAGATAAAAATGTTGGCGATCTGACACGACGTTACTTTTTCGCTTATAGCTCCGCTATTTCTCAACCGATCGTTTCGAGTCCTATCTCTTTTGAAAGAGGATGAAATTACCTATAAAATATTTTTTTATTGAGATTCCAGGCCGGTTTCGTCTTTGAAATATCAGCTGTTAAAGTTGAAATTCTTTGTAATTTATTTTGTTAAAATTTTCCAGGTCGATTTTCTCGAAAACGGTGTCCCGTGGCGGGATACTTTTTATAGGCTTTTTTGTAGTACTCGACGAGATCTATAAGGTTTGTATTTAAAGTTTTTCTTCCAAGCTTTTCGTTTTCGAGTTAGAAGGCTTTGAAAATTTTAAAAAAAAAATCGAATTTTTTTGTCGAAAAAATTCAAATTTTGAATTTCAAAAAAAAAAATTCTATTGGATAGAGGTGCAAAAAATACGACGAAAAGTTAATTTGATCCTCCTCGCTACGGCACATCCTAAGGCCGAAAAAACATAAAAAAGGAAATGTCGATTTTGACCAGAAAAAATTGTGGATACCCGACACGAGGCCACTTTGTCAGAATCCCTGTCCTGCAATTATTCTGACATTGGTCGACTGGAGGCTAAACTCTCACATGCTTCACTGAAATCTAGCATTCAAATGGACCGCAGATCTGGGCATCCAATAAAAATACCGGAAACATATCGAACCACTACTGGCAGTCATATACCATAGTCTCGAAGAGCGGCTAGCCGCACGCATAGTTGAAAACTGCCATCTTTGCTTTTTTTATCTCTGTTTTATGCATTAAGAGTTCCATCTTACTTTTCTAGTCGGAAGTTGTAGAAATTATTATCGTAATTAATCATAATTATCAATTTCTGTCCTCTTGTATTTTTTATTTTTCGTCAAAATTAACTCTGAATATATATACTTACATGAAGAAAAGCAACATTTTCTCGAGTATTCGTGGTTTTTATTGAATTAGAGATAAATTATTAAGGACATGGGCATCCCAAAACAAATTTTGCCTGCCCCGCAGTGGTTACCTTACCGTAATTCATTATTTTTTAGCCTCCTCACTCGAAATAGTCACGAGCCGCCACTGGAAGCAGCAGCAATAATGCTCAACGACAACATTCAGCCAAATGAAAACAACAACGTCGATATGGAACTAAACAAATTAAAGCAAGCAGTAGAAACAATAAAGAAGGAAATATAGAAACCGAACAAAATAAAGAGAAAATCTTGGATGACGACAGAAATATTAAACTTGGAAGAAAGAAGACAAAATAAAGGAAATCCAACGGAATATAAACGTATATACAATGCATTATAAAACAGGAAATAAGGAAAGCGAAAGAAAAAGAACTACAAGAAAAATGTCGCGAGATCGAACACCATCAAAACATGTACGATGACTTCAATGTTCACAGGAAAGTCCGAGAAGTAACAAGGAAAGGCCACAAAAACAACTGTAAACCTTTGGTTAATGAAGCAGGAGAAATCATCATTGACGCGGAGAAAAAGAAGGAAGCCTGGAAAACATATCTGGAGAATCTATTCCATGATGTACGCAAAGAACAAAAACCAACTGCAGGAGAGGGACCGGAAATTCTTGTGGACGAAGTGAGAGCCGCCATTTCAGAAATGAAGCCACGGAAAGCAGCTGGTCTAGATCAAATACAGACTGAATTCCTAAAACTACTGAACGAGGATAAAATCAAATTGCTGACCACAATATTCAACAACGTCTACTTAACAGGAGAAATTCCAGCGGATTGGTTAAGGTCAGAATTTATAACACTGCCGAAAAAAGCAAGTGCCAAAACCTGCGGTGATTTTAGAACAATAAGTTTGATGAGTCATCTCTTAAAGCTGTTTCTCAAGATAATACACAAAAGAATATATAGACTTTGTGAAGAACAGATTTCACCGAACCAGTTTGGGTTTGTGAACGCCGTCGGTACAAGAGAGGCTCTATTTGGTGTTCAGGTTTTGTTTCAGAGATGTAGGGATGTCAGTTGTGATGTATATGCTTGCTTAATCGATTATCAAAAAGCATTTGACCGAGTCCAACACGATAAAATGGTCGACATACTGAAGCAAATAGGAATGAATCAGAAAGATTTAAACATATTTATAAACTTATATTGGAACCAGACGGCAGTTTTAAGAATGGATGGCGGTCACACAGAACAAGTAAATATACTACGAGGAGTGAGGCAAGGCTGTGTTTTGTCGCCCATCTTATTTAACGTGTACTCAGAATACATCTTTCGAGAAGCACTAGATAACATTGAGGAAGGAATCACTATAAACGGTACTAAACTTAATAACATAAGATATGCAGATGATACCATCATGTTTGCAGATAGTCTTCAAGGATTACAAAGTTTAATGGATAGGGTGACCAGAATTAGCTCACAGTACGGGTTAGAAATGAACATAAACAAAACCAAACTCCTCATAGTAAGTAAAAGAAACATCGCGGAAGACAGTTTATACATCAATCACAGTAGAATACAAAGAGTAAGGCAGTACACATACTTGGGGACAATCATTAACGAGAGATGGGACAACTCTCAAGAAATACGATATCGCATCGAAAAGGCCCGCTCTGTGTTTATTAAAATGAGCTCGCTTTTCAAAAGCCATGATTTATCCTTGGACATGAAGCTGAGACTCTTGCGTTGTTACGTTTTTTCGGTCCTTCTGTATGGCGTAGAAACTTGGACACTCACTAAAGAGACTACCAGGAGAATTGAAGCGTTCGAACTCTGGCTGTACAGGGGAATACCGAAAATATCTTGGACACAAAAAATTACCAACATAGAAGTAATGCGTCGGATGAATAAAGAACTAGAACTGTTAGATACCATAAAATGTCAGAAACTTCAGTATTTTGGCCACATAATGAGGAACCCAAATAGATACGGGCTGCTACAGGAAATCCTACAAGGCACTTGAAGAAGAAGAAGTTAATAAATATAGAAAATAAATACTTAACGAGGAAAAAAAAAGTGATAAAGTACCTATGGCTGGAGATTTTATGTTTCACCTGATGAAACTGAAAAACCTACATCAGCAATAGTAACGGTCTATAAATATGTTTTTTTACTACTAACCTGAGAAATTGTCATTATTCAATCTATTTTTCTAGGAAAAAATTGAATTTCTCTCCCTAGGTGAATAATGAAAATAATGAAAAAATACCTAGGTTAATAATGAAAATGACGTCATGACGCAAGGATATAGTCATGTTTCTATTGGTTCAATTTCATTTCCATACGTCAATTTGAAAAAAAATACAGGTTTCTGTAGGTACATAGGAAGTTATCATAAGCTGTTGATAGAGGGCAGCACTTTCAAGAGAGCGTTCAAAAAAAATAATTGGAGCACAGATTTTAAACAAATTTTTCATTTTCTACTAGCAGTAGTAAAAAAAATTCTATATATTCCTCGGTAGAGAAAGTCATTATATACCTCACTCATTATAAACCTCAGCGCGAGCGCCTCGGTTTATAAAAGCGCTCGGTATATAAGGACCAACTTCTCTACCTAGGTATATAATATACTATTAAAGGTTGATCGTAAAAGCATCATATTGGATTTTTATTATGTCGATTTTATGTCGAATATAAGTTCGACATAAAACAGCTACCTTGTATAAAATACAAACAACAATATTGCTTGCTTAAGGCCACATTATGGACTGACTGGTAAACGTCTAATTGTTACCTAGCAGGTACTTTCTATGCATTAGAGAATAGAAAGTACCTGCTAGGTAACAACCAGACCAGTTGGTCCATAATTTGGCCCTTATAAGTGTCAATTTCAGGCTTAATTTAATAGAAATCCATAGACAAAATCTTACTCACATTATTCTCCTCGTCATCAAATTTAGCTTCATCATTTCTCTCCGGATACATTCTAGCTTCTTCCAAAGCATCTTGCTCAAACGGTTTGTACCTTCTGTATTGACTAAGCTGATCTGCACGATCCGTGGTTTCTTTCAATTGCTTAAATCCATCTTCAAGCCTATCGAAAAGTCTGTCTCGATAGTTCTGATGGTGTCTGGAAAATAAACGATATTTTTATTTGATGTGTGTAGTTACAAACACAATATGGTATGGTAATTGAAAAAGCTTGTTACTTATCGAGCAACATATAGGGCTGTCTTTATGATTTTTATTCTGAACGTAAGGGTCGTTACTTTTATCGTTATAGACATTCTCGAGAGCCGAAAGGGGCTATTATGCGAAAACTTCAAAGTAAAAGGCAGTTTCTAAAGTAGGTACCTATAAAAGTATTTTTATTAAGTGTTTGAAACCTATACAAATTGCTAAAAACGTTTTCTTTTAAACCAGTTGAAGCTGAACTGACTAATGATATAGCTTGTATATGAATATATTTTTAGAGTCTGGGTAGCCAGTCGTCAACACGAATCAACTGACAATAGTTTATTTGAAAGGACGAAATTGAAGACCAAAATAGGCATTTATGTAGGTAATAAGTTGCTTAGAGAGCTTCCTGAACTGAAGATTTGATATAAGCAAGTTACAGAAACGAGCAGTTATCTGAAGACCAACAAGATTTGACGCTTATGCCATGATAGTTGCTGCTGAAATTGTGAATTCAATAAAAAGAAGATATGCCAGAAAAAATTTATGGTTTATTGCTCCCATGCTTTATACGTAACACTCTTCCTTTTTTCAAAAAGCTAGACTGGTCTTTTAACTTCTTCCTTTATCCAAGTTTTCATTCATGTTCAGCCTACAGAAGAATCGGAAATGAAATTTACATAATTCTAAGCGTTGAGAGGGTCACAAATATGAGCTTTTTGAATCAGTCTATTCGTAAATGTTCAAAATTCAATGTTTCCCAATTCTTTAGTTCCATTTTGTGCATTAGGAGCGCCAAGAATAGAAACTTTATGTCTTTCTAGTTCAAATACAAGTTCTAGAACATTAGGAAATGAAATTTTCATAATTCTAAGCATTGCGAGAGTCACAGATATGAGCTTTTTGAATCAGTCTACTCGTAAATGTTCAAAACTCAAGGATTTACAGTTCTTTAGTTCGATTTTGTGCATTAGGAGCGCCGGGAATAGAAACTTTGTCTCTTTCTAGTTCAAATTTTAAGCTCTAGAAGAATCGGAAATTAAATTTTCATAATTCCTAGCATTGCGAGAGTCACAAATATGAACTTTTTGAATCAGTCTACTCGTAAATATTCAAGAGTCAAAGTTTCACAGTAGAGGTACCTAGATGATTCCTTCTGCATCATATGTTCCACCCCGTATGGGTGCGAGAGAGATAGCACTATACCCTGTCTCCGCGGGTGTAAGAGAGAAGGCAAAAGTTTCGAAAAACTTCAGGTTTTGTATTAAAAATGTATTTTTTCCGGAAAGTTTTTTGAATAATTTTACCTATGGTATGGTAGCATAATATTTTGTTTTATTTTATATTTATTATATGTATGAGTACAAAGCTCAATTAATACAGATTTAAAAGTCACAAACTGAAATTCTTGTTTTGTTTTGTCATATTCTTATTTTGCTAGCCGCAATCATATTATCAGCCTTCCTCTCAACTACTAACAACTTTTTCATGTCCTCTCTCTTTCTCTTTTCCAAATCATCAATTTTCTTCCCAAACGATAACATCCATCTTATTGTCAGCTTTGTTGGGGTTATTCCTCACCAACCATAATATCATCTCCAGAATTCACTGACCATAATAATATCAGCAAAAGTGTTTAGCGCGACTTTATCTCCGGAACTACTTGAAATTTTCAAGGTTTGTATTCCTCTACTACAATAAGAATCGCTGAAAATTTCAGCTTTATATCTGTAGTAAAACCAAAGTTAGGAATGTTCAGAGTTTTCCAAATGATAAGGTGAGTAATAAAACGATTAAATTTAACAAATAATTTATGTTGGGATTTTGTTTTTAAATGATCAGTTGAGACCTCCGAAACTCCATACAGTGATTTATTGTGAGGTTTGAAGCCAAAATCTACGTCAGGTCCTAATCTTGGAATCATTTTCTTGCATCTGTTTTTCATTGAGAAGTGCCTATCTATAGGATCTTATTATTTTGGTTCCTGAATTCTGCAAACTTTCAAATTTTCTTGGTGCCGGTATAAAACAACTGTAGAAAAAAGACATTGTGAATTTTGAGACATTACTTAATTTGCAAAGTTTTTCTACAAAAGGCCTCAAGATCTACAGATTCTGAATTCTGCAAAATCAAATCTATATTACTTAATCATTGCTTTTAGAGATCTACACCTCTGTTTTTTGGAGATTAATTTCACTGAAATTTGACAATTTGGCATGGTTGCTGCCTAGAGTTTTGGTTCTAGAAATCGAGTTTCCTAAATAAGGAAGGGTGTTGTTAGTTTAGAATTTCTTTCTATTCTACTATAAAAAGAAGAAACAAACAATTTCTTTTAACCCTTTTTTATGGAATAGAACTGATAAAAAATACAATAGTAATAGTAAAAAACAAAAATATGTATGAAAAGTTTATTGTAAATTGTAAGGGAAAACTTGAATAAAGATGACCCGGGAAAAATAAACACGTAATTTACAATGTCTTTACTGTAAAAATTAAATGTAATCAAATAATCAGGAACTGAATTTCCTTTATTTCAAATCAGTATCAATGAACTAAAAATTAAACAAATTAGCGTTGACCCCAAATTAATTTAAATATTTATATACGTTCAAATTCAAATCAAATTCATAAAATATTAAAAGCGAGGCTACAGTAATTGAATAGGTGATTTATGGACCGCACGTGTATCGGTTTTCTTTGAGTTATATGTCCTCACATTCTTACAACCAAATCTGTTGACCCCAATAAACCAGGAAATTGCGACATAATTATTCGGTTTTAAACAAATAAATGAGGAAGGTTAATGAATGATGGATAGGAATTTTCGGGGGATCGAATAATATAAATACAAGTCTTGACATCAGTTTAAGCTTAAGTCTAGTTGAGTCTATAGTTCATTTGAGTTTAAGTCCGGATAAAATTCGCGAAGAGTTTCTTTTATTGTGTTGCTTCGGGAAAACGCGTTAAGACTTTGAAAAAGTAACGGAAAATTGAGAAAGAAAGAACATTTAAATTCATTCAACATTATGTGCGAGCTCTAAGTAATCAAAAGAATTAAATTAGATTAGTTTAGTGTTTTATGGACGAAATGTAAGTACTCTAGTGACAAGTTTTATTTTTGACTATAAATGATGAATGACTATGGAGTGAATTAACTTTGGAACTTTATTGCATAAATATTAATAACTCGAGTGTTTTGACTATGGAACATTATTGCATAAATTTAATTGTCTTCGAGTAAAATGACATTTTAATTATTAATTTTGCAAAGAGTTTAAAAGGGAAAATTATAATGCTCTCAACAATAATCGATTTTGAGTCTGAATTATTAAAGATTTTTGAATTGGTATGTCCAACTGAAGTTTAAGGGCTATAGTAACTAACTAATAAGAATTTAAATAATTGTGTATGTTGGCTAGGAATTCGAAAATAGTAATTGTTCTGTTTAAATTGATCCTTAGTAGAAGATTGAACCATTAAATGTAATGGGAAGATTTGAAAAAAAACTTGTTGTTCATGAAATGAGATTGTTGTCTTTAATCATTAAAAGTAATGGAAAATTTAGTTTAAATATTGTTGTTCTTCATGAAATAAGATTGTTATCTTTAATCATTAAAAGTATTGGAAAGTTTTGTTTGAAAATTGTTGTTCATGAAGTAACATTGTTGACCTAAAGGGCTGAAATTTTGATTTAGGGTTTTAATCATTTAGAAATTATTGTAAGGTTTTTTATAAAAATATAGTTGGTAATACATACAGTGAGGACATAAAGTCCCCCCTCTAACTTTTGAACCGCTCGGTATATTGCAACGAAATTTGGAATGATGATATGTGAGCAAATTCTCCATTTTTTGAAATGCAAATGACAGCTTCAGGTGTCAAAATGACAGCTGGGCATTTTGCATTTAGCATTGCGAAAGTCACAAATATGAGCTTTTTTTTCTAGTTCAAATTTAAGTTTTCCAGTGAGTCCACTCTTGAGCAGCTTTTGGGGAGTTTTGATCACTGTCAATCGTTCATAGGTCTTAAAAGTTTATCCCAAAAATATACCACAGCATACATACAAATTGTTGAATACCTTCGTACAAAGAACAAAGACGATAACTTGAATTTGGGATTCAAAAGTGTATAGGACTATATTTATTCCTAGAGTGGAACCAAATCATTAGAAGCTTGAAAGTTCATAAAACCATTAAAACTAGAAAATACTATAACAAAATAAACATCAATTCAAGTAGCAGCAACATGCGACATTACGTTACAAGAACTTCCTGAAAATAAGCAACAGTGTAATATGACTCAATCCTCTACTGAATATAAAATTAAAATCTGCGAAGCGCCTGTTGATTCAATACTGGATGAAATGAATTACAAACTATTCAAATAAAGTTTAATAAATGTGCATTTAACAGCCTATACACCTTTTCAAAAAGGTAATAAATTTTCATTTCAATGGAAAAGGTCATGAATAATGCAGTTTCAAAATCGATAAATGGGCTTTTTTTATTCCTACGCAATTATAAAACTGTACCTACACGCAAAGATCAGAAGCAACAAGTTTAAAACATTTATTTCAGAATATATTTTGAAGCTCGTTTAAGCCCCCAATTGTACTGTGTCTTTTATTAATTGAATTTAAACAAAGTTCAAGGCCCAGACATCTAAAAAAATACGGTAACTTCTTTTGTATAGCTTTATTTAATTTTTATTTTCCTTGTTGGTGTTGGCCGAGAGTTTTTTAATTAAAGTTACAAAAGTTTGTTGATTGATTAAAGTATGTTCTAAGTTCTAGAGGGACTGTAGTTTTTCTCTAAAGTTAAAGCTAAGAAAAATTTCTCTTCTTAGGATTTATCGGTTTTTGAAGCAAAAAGTTACATTAAAATGTATTTATGGAAATTGATTTTCTTTATATAGTTGGGTATAAGGAATGTCGCTTTTTCAAATTGGCTCTTTTATTTACTTTTGAACAAAATAAATCAAATTTTCTCTTGTAAGCTTGACGGGATCTTGTATTATTGAAATTATCAATCAGTACCTATATGGTATTTTTGATAATACGCAATCATCAACTAGAAAATAACTTAAATCATCAAATCCTCTTTTGCAATTCCAGCAAAATGACGATGATTGTTTGGAGTTTCTAAAGCCTGGTAACTCAATTCTAATCTCATTACTGAGAAATGACAGTGGTAAGAGTCCATAAACCCTGCCAACGTTACATCTCATAAAATCCAAGATCGACTTTTATTTTCTCGGGCAAGTGCTGAAGTTCATGTTTTATTCAAACAGATAAAAAGTATCTTCTTAAATTCAACATCTTATGTTTGTTTCAGATATATTACAATTTACTTACTTATTTGCCAATTCTACCCTAGCTAAGTTGACAGCTTCAAGTAACTTTTCCCTATCAATTTCACTGACGTCGGCATTGTCGCCTTCCTCATCCAAGTCTCTAGCTATATTGTGAAATGGCCATTGTCTATGGATGTCGTCCAGTTCCACGTTTCTTCTATCCAGGTCGTTCAGGTACTCAAGGTATTTGAGATCTGCAACAAAAATTATTAACATTTTAATTTCGGAGCTGTGAGAGGACTCTCTATATAAAAAGCCTTATTAAGTCAGCTCTTTGGGGTGCCATCACAACACTGCTGAAAAATATAAGTTTTTTTTTATGTGGACCCAAAGCTAGGGCCCACAATAGTAATATGGCTTTACTTCCACCCACAAGGGAGCTTTTTTATTTTTATTATTTTTGTGGAATAATACTTTTTGGGAAACAGAAATAGGAATCTAGCAATTCAGTTGTAGCTTACGTGCTACAAGGATGAGTTAAGGTATAGAACCGGGCACAAATTGAGTTTTTCAAACGAATGAAGTAAGAATAAAAAAATTCCAGCTTCGGGTCTGCACAAGGATTCGACAGTGGAGAGTAGGACTCACCATTTAATAGAATACACCTTGTAGTAGATAACATTTTTAGGAAAAGTATGTAAGATTTACGTGAATTAAAGTCACATTTATATAATAATAATGAATATTATCGTTGTAACCATTAAGACAGTCAAACCTCGGTAGAAAACACCCTATGACATCGGTCCATGACCAGTCGAAAAAAAAAGGTGTAAAAGGGATTGTCATAGAAAACGTCAGCGTTATTAACATGTATTTTCCACTTCAAAAATCTTTATGGCTATATTTTGGCTTTTTGTTCAATGAGTACAGTATTTTTGGAATAAATATTCGGGAATTTAGTTAATCAACGTGTACCGTATTACATTCTGATCAAAACACACCAGTTAAAGTGGCGCCCAACGTGGGGCAAGTTAAAAAGCAAGTTTATTTTGCCTGTACTTTTGTTGACTAGAAAGATTTGTGAAGTTTTCCTGTAAGTTTTTCGACTGTGGTCATAATCCATTTCACCAACTTCACCAAAGATACCAATTTCATGCACTTACGTTCAGGTCAGATGTCGAAAAGCACTAACCCAAACTCTTATACAGAGCCTTATCGATCAAAATGCCAACTTAAATAATCCAAAGCGAGGTCATTTTGCCAAATGCACAGCTCGTTTTGATGGTTCATATAGCAGTGATGTAAATACGTTTATTGATACCATCCTTATTTATAAAGACTGCGTGAATGTTTCTGAAAATAATGCTCTCAAGGGTTTTCCTATGCTTCTAGAAGGTCAAGCTGCAATATGGTGGCAAGGAGTAAAATCCAGTATTGTTACATTTGATGATGGTATATGTGCATTACGAAATGCTTTTGGACAAAAAAAAACTTCCACATCAACTATATCGTGAGTTATTTTCTAAAGAACAAAGTAATGAAGAGAAAACTGAAATTTTTGTAAGCCGATGTCGAGCCATTTTCTCCAAATTTCCAATTAACCACCAAGTTCCTGCAATTTGTCAATTAAATATGGCCTATGGTCTATTGAACTACAATATTAGAAAAAGAGTTCCTCGAGAGAATGTTGATAATTTCAATGAGCTTATTCAAAATGCTCGAACTTCAGAAATCACTCTACTGGAAAACAAAACTCACGATTCTGTTAAATCGAGCCCCCACAAAGAAGCTAAAACAGAAGGGAAGAAGTCTTCATTGAAATGTGTTTATTGCAAAAATTATGGCCACATCATAGAAGATTGTAGAAAATTGAAACAAAACTCTAGACTGGAAGAAAGGTCGGAAGTCAGAAGATCCGCAAAAAAAAAATGCTTCTACGGCAATTTCTTGCTACGGTTGTGGAAAACAAGGTTACATCAAAAAGAACTTTCCAAATTGTCAAAAATCAGGTTCTTCTAGTAATACTTCATCAGGCCAAACGTTCACTACAAGTGTCAAAGCTGCTGAATTCTTCTAACATTCTTCAGATGTGAATTCTCAAATTGAACCTATGTGTTAGAGTTATTTTGTGGAATAAAGCCAGAATAAAGTTTTACTATTAGAAATAAACTAAAGATTTTATTAATAACAAAACATTCTACCATGAAGATTACAACAACATTGCTATATCGATAACCTCACTTTGTTCTCCTCAAATGTTCTTTAATGTCAATATGTTTTCCGCGTTTCGAATTTTCATAACTCTTTGGTCTCTTTGCCTTTGAAATCGCACTCACATTGTCCATTTTTAGCGTTATATTTTCAATTTTGCAAAATTCCGAAATTATCCCTTTCAAGTTCACTACTTCTTGTGCTGAAGCCGCCCCTGCCACGTATTCTGCCTCTGCGGTATACGGCGCCACACATGTTTGCTTCTTAGAAAACCAGCTGATTGCCAGCATACAGTACTATAGAGCCACTTGTACTCTTTCTGTCGGTCTTGTCTCCAGCCCAATCTGAGTCGGAATATGCTACTAATTTTTCTGCACCCCTCGTATACATTAATCCAGTATCAACAGTATTTTTCAAATACCTCAGGATTCTTTTGCCTGCTGTCCACAACAATTGAGTTGGTTTGTCCAAATATCCACTAAGATAGGACACCACATACAAAATATCCGGTCTGGAAGTGCATGCCAAGTACATCAGCGATCCAACTAACTTTCTGTATGGGACATCAATGATTTCTTCTGATTTTTCAACTTGAAAACCTGTTATCATAGGTGTTGACACTCCTCTACAGTCTGTCATACCAAAATCTTGTAGAATTTTATTAATATACTTTTTCTGAGTGATACTCATGTTTTCAGAAGTTCTTAATATCTCCTTTCCAATAAATCTTCTAATTTCACCCAAATCTTTGGCATTGAGTTTGTTCTTCAAATTATTAACTACATCCTGTACTTCATTTTTGTCTTCTGTGATAATTAAATCATCTACAAAAACAATAAGCCACACATCTTTCTTTTTATAAAGACAGAAATCATACTGAGATCTTTCAAAGTCTAAATCTTTCATTATCTCATTAAATTGGTTATTCCAACACTTTGGACTCTCCTTCAGCCCATACAAAGCTCTGTTGAGCTTTAAAACTTTGTTTTTGTCTTCATTTACGCCGTCTGGTATTTTTATGTATACTTCAGATTCAAGTTTTCCATTCAGAAAAGCACTTGGAATGTCAAGTTGACGTACATTCCAAATCTGTTGTAGAGCAAGTACTAGAAATGCTCTAATCGTTGACAATCTGGCAACTGGTGTATACATAGGTGTAAAATCATTCTCCTCCTGAATCTGGAAGCCCTTGGCTACTAATCGAGCCTTCTTTGTACCATCTTCCTTTGTTCGGAAGACCCATCTTGTATCATTTGCATATTGTTTTCAGGAAGTTTAGACAAAGTCCAAGTTTGTAGATTGCTAAGAGACTTCAATTCATGGTTGATAGCATCTTGCCAATCAGAACTTTTCTGAGCTTCCGAAAATGTTTGAGGATCCTCCTGTGATTCTGTAACATCCAAATATGTAGCATATATCTCATAATTTTGAAGATACTGAGGCTTATGTACCTCTCTACCAGTTCTTGTTAGAACAGGCTCTGCATCAGCTATCTCCTCCTCAATTTCTATTTGTTCATCTTCAAGTCACTGCTGTCTTCATTTTGAACAGAACCAAACTGAGAACTTTCATCAAAAATATTTTCTTCATTTTGTTCTTCATTCTCTTTAATTTCTACTGGCCATACAATTGTTTTGTCTTCTTTTATCTCTGTATTTCTTTCTTTGGTATTTTTCTCTGTTTCTTTTCCTTCAAAAAACACAACATCTCTACTAAAAATAATTTTCTTAGTATTTGGATTAATCAGTCTGTATCTTTTTTTATTTTCTCCATAACCCATAAAAAGCAACTTCTGTGATTTAGGATCCAATTTCTTCCTCAACTCATCTGGCACATGTGCCATAGCTTCACAACCAAAAATTTTCAGCTCTGATAAGTTGGGTTTTTCCTTATTCCAGACTTCATAGGGAGTTTTCCCAAGTACTGCTTTTGTTGGTGATCTATTTATGAGATTAACTGCAGTGTTAACTGCTTCACCCCAATATTCTTTCGACAAACCAGCATCAGACAACATACTACGAGCTCTCTCACAAATTGTCCTATTCGCCCTCTCACTAACCCCATTTTGTTGCGGAGTATATCGAACAGTTGTCCGATGTATAATACCAGAGTCATCAAGTACCTTCTTGAATTTCTTATTCACATATTCAGTACCATTGTCAGTTCTGAGCATTTTTATTTCAGAGTCAGTTTGATTCTGAACAAGTTGCTTAAATTGTTGAAAAACTTCAACTACTTGACTTTTTTCTGATAGAAAATATGTAAATATAAATCTTGAAAAATCATCAATTAGAGTGATTATTCCACGCATGTATTAGAAATCCCATAAGACAAGTGACGATTTTCAGAATTACAGCGAAAATTCTCTTTTCCATTTGTTTAACTACAGAGAATTACAGCGATAATTCTCCCATGTTATTGTATACATGGTTGTCATGCTAATTTTTGATACAAACAAACGGTTCCTGATAGCAACCATTTATTTGTATCGATTGTTATGATGTTCAAATCGTTTAATACATATCTTTCTCCATATTTTTTGCATTCTCATACGTGAAATAATCCTCTAAATACCACTTGAGCTTTAAAATGAACCAGATAATTTTTCACTCATGCGTGTTTTCTCTGCAAATTTCACTCGTCCTACGGACTCGTGAAATTATAGAAAACACGCAGTCGTGAAAAATTTTCGGTAATTTTGAAGCTCTCGTGGTATTATCCCCGAAAATGTACTTACAGCCGCCTATTGATGCTACTTCCATTGGCCCACAGAGGTCGCTGTGAACCAGCGGTAGAATCTTACTTGACTTTCACATGCTGCAATGGAATGGCTTTCGACTATGTTTTCCTTCGACACAGGAAATACACGGCTCTGAAGATATATTTATTTTGTTCAAACCAGTAGACATACTTGTCAGCAACTGCATTGCCTTTCTATTCAAGTGGCCAAGTCTTCTGTGCCATAAATCACTTGAGTGTTCACTCACACAAGAATACATTGGTAGACCTCCATTTTGACAGACATTGGTATTGGTACTTAACT